AAAAAAAAAAAAAAAAAAAACGTTCTTTCCTTTTACTCAAAGTTTACCAAAGTTTCTTTCCGATTCCTTACGTAAAATAATATACTCTTAGAGATCATCCTTATTTTTCGCTCAGATACGAGATCTTAAAACGCAGATTTTCCAGGTGAAGCAACTGTTGACAATGCCTTAGAGATCTACCGAAGTGCGATTAGCGATTTTGAAGAGGTAGCAGCCCAGGCAAAAAGTGCAATGACAGATATTATGCAAGAAGTTGCGCAACCAAGTTTGTCTTACCTGTTATGTGTTACTACCGATCAAAAGAGCTAATTCTCTCTACCTCAAAATTTGCAATTTGCTTTCAACTTTATCAGCCCAGGAATGAACCAAAATCGTATGCGTAACTGTTTATTATTGCAAAACTTCTCGCACAAGGAAGAACGGAAAAATGTTAGTTACCCTCATCAAATTCATTTTCACAGCCAGCTACACTTCCCAAACCAATCCTGAATCTCAAGCCATCCTACCATCATCCAAGTTCTTCCTTATTGCCAATGATAGCAAAACGTTTATCGTTCCCTCCCCTTCCTTCTTGCACAGCTATCGCCCCTTAGGGAAGAATAGAGAATTCCATTCCGTTAGAGAATTCATAAGTCAACTGATGAACAAGAATTACTATGACTTAGGCATCGGACCGTATCAGTCTGCTGCTGATTCCGTTGTTTGTAATGTTGAGATTGTTCTTAACAAATTAGTTATTCATTTCAAACGTCTGCGGAACAAAAAAGTCGAATATTTTTAGGACTCATTAACATTGTTAATGAGAAAGTGTTGGCAGAAGAGAAACTGAAGGTAGGCGTTCATGAGCAAGAAGAAGGCAACGATGAGGAAGAAGAGGAGGTAGTTGAAGAGGTAGTGGAAGAAGTAGAAGAAGAAGAAAATGAGGAGGAGGAGGAGGAGAAGGATGCAGAAGAGGAGGAAGATACTGATGACCAAATAATAGAGGAGGTAGACGAAATCCAATGTGAACCTTCATCTACATTCAATATACCGTTGATCAACATTCATCCAAGCAGCTCTCACGAAGGTTAGTTTTTCCACCACTCACTACAATAGTATCCACTTTCTCCCTTTACAAAAATGAGGGTTCAAAAAGCAATATAGATAAGGCTACTCACGTTTCTTAAGTTCTCCCTTTTTCTTTCATCTATGCAAGCTTTACTACAAAAAAACCTGTTTTCACATAGCGGAATTATTACGCATTATAGAACTGTTGGTAAAATAAATCATCCAAACTGCCACCAAATGACTAACCGTTTATACTTTGTCAACATTTTTCAAAAAAATTTTCAAAACCTTGGATTATTCCTACCAAACTTTCATCACAGCGATGGGACTGCAGATATTAATGGCCCCGTTGTTTAAATAGATGTCGTCCGGCAAAGATCTCAATGAATGGTAGTAAATCATAGTATATCAAGTAATTGGCTGAATGAGTAAAAGTAGTTCCTGAGTCATAAGGATATCAAAAAATCATATGTCAGGTTAATCCACAAATTTTTTCAAATTTTGACTTTCAAACCTAATTAGTTCAGAAGATGGCTACAAATGTATATCCCTTAAAAAATAGTAGAAAAAGAAATTTGTCCTTCCTCTTTGTTTTTTTTTCCATTTTTACTCCCTACTTCTAACTTTTTTATCAACAGTTCCTTTCTAAATTATAAAACTGTGAAGTCTGAGTAACGCGAGTCAGAATGCCGTTCAAACTGTAATATCCTGCAGTAACTCGGACAGCATGAGTCACGCAGATGTATGTAGGAAGACATTCATTACTATACGATGGTGGCCACTGAGTCTGTTATACAATTCACAGCGACTTCCACTGTTTTAATGGAGCTAACAGTACACGAACGTCGCCTAAGATTTGAAGTAATGGATGAAAAGGAAGCAACTGTGTTGGAGACATGGAAGAATCTGGTGTTGTCATTGCACAAAGGTTCATTTCTTACAAATATTTCAATTGATTTGCAGAAGCGTCGATTAGAATCATGCCAAAAACTCTTCGCTTCCAGGTCCACTTAGAGCCACTCTTCAACTCTTAAAAAAAATTTTAGTTGAAAAACAAACCTGCCCTTGGGACTAATCAAAAGATCCCTATGAAACATCTTTTCACTCCACAGAATTTCAAAATTTTTATCACAGTTTTGGCTGCATAATGTCTGCCGCAGTGCTTACCTTGGTGTACCAACTTAATCTCAAATAAATTTCTTGGGCTGACTTGAAGATGGAAATTATAACAAGACTTATAAGTCGACTTAACTTCTACTCAAAACGGATCAACGTTTGACCGAGGCAGTAACCTTTGTTACTTTGTCCTTAGAGACAGCATTCTTAATAGCGAAAAAATAAGTGGGAAATCTCCAATGACGACTGTTCACAAAGAAGTTACACTTAGCATTTGAGGTCATCTCAGCTGGAAGTCTGCAATCCTCTTTCCGGACGACCAAGAGAACTCAAAGGAACAAATGAAGGCTACGCACTGTTCAGAAAACTAATCATAAAAACATATTCTTTTATTCTCTGTAAAACATCTATACTGCACCTCTCGGCTCTTTTTCCCAAAAATTAATTTCTGCAGAAATTGCTAAGCGTTTCTATGTAAAATGCTCACTTGCAACACTTCCTAACAAGCCAACTTCAGTTATTTTTTACCCACCTGTAAAAGGCTAATCTACAAATCAACCAAAAATTTTTAATAGTTTTGAAAATAAGAACTGACAAGCAAAAAATGAAGTGCGAGTAATTTAAAAATACACCCACAGAAGCAACCTCGTCCAAAGCAGTAGCAACAAAAAAAATTTTTCTCTTAGAAACAATCTAGCTGTCTTAGGGCACGTTTTAGAGCCGCCTATGTCTTACCTAGTAAAAAACTTAGCTGTCTTTTATGCTACGCTTGCCAAACCTGACAATTCAAATCATTTATTACGGAAACAAACACCAATCCTTCTTTATTAATACCAATACAATTAGAATACAATCACCTTGATAACATCTCGTTCCATATGATCATTTCCAACAAACTAGCACCTTGGATTTCAGCATGCGTGAATCAAAGTGAGTGTGGAAAGTTAAAAGCTACGAACATACAATGTGTCCCAGATATACTAAGTGCGGCCTAAAAAAGTTCGCTACAAAAACCTGTAAGAAGAAAAAAATAACAATGTTAAAAGCAAAGTGAGCTAACGATGACAATGAAATAAAATTAGCAATTTGTTTCTAAATAAAAGTGAATTGAGGATTACAGAAAGTAAGTCTGCAGCATTTCTAGGTTCAAATGGTGATGACGGAGATGAAAAGGATATGGAGGTAGAACAGAGAGAGGAAGAGGAGGAGGAAGAAGGCGACGAGGAAGAAGAAGCATATGAAAAGAAGAAAGAGGATGAGGAAGGCGTTGAGAAAGAAGAAAATGAAGATGATAAAAAAGTATAAATGGAAAAAGCAAAGACGACTGCTACTGAACTGAAATCACAATGTTTATGCGAAAAACTGTTAATTTCACTTCAATACTTCCAAGATTAGTGAATAAGTGACTTCTCATGGACCAAGGACAAAGTTGTAGAAATGGTTTCTGTACTTTGATTGTTACATTGAAGCCAAATAATACAATAAATTTAAATTTATCTGTACGACTCAGCTGAACATAAATGGTATGAAATAACAGCATTCAATGACTAACTTGTCACATTTCCAGACTGAATACATCGCCCTGGCAAGTGGCATCTTAGGCAACTTTTGCAATGTTTATAACTCGGTTTCACGCAACGAGAGCACCTTTCACAGTGCCTATAAGTGCGTCCAGTCTGGAAAACTACTGTGAAATAATGAGTGATAGGAAAAAAGGCAAAGGCACTCAGAAGCACCGAATAAATCACTTGGTTTTATACTGACTAAACTGATTATTTTCAAAAAAATTTAGACAGTACGTCTTCAAGTTATTTTACCAACGCTAAGTTTTCTTCAAGTCCTTCACCACTTCAATTCAATTAATACTTCCAATAATGCACAAAGGTAGCTTAGAATAAGGAACTGCATCCCACTAATCAATTCAAGAATACACGCCAACCTTTGAAGGACAAACGCCACATAACCCACAGTGTTTGTTTGAAATCGCAACGTAACGTTCACACATATCGCAGTACCTAACATAAAAATATCAAATTTTTTGCTTACAAAAAGTTCACACATAACAGCAAATAATAATCATAAAATGAACCTATAATTTGAGTCCGAACGTAGAGAAAAAGATTTCAAAGGAATATTTGTGAAGAATCTCACAACAGTACTAGACGGTCGAGAATACTTCCGATGATTTGTATAGCAAACTGCATAATCAGACATATCTAGCTGCTGACCGTCAACGTAGAGAAACTTTGCAAAGAAATAAGGAAGCGTAACAATTACATTGACACTCTTATTACCCCTGAAATCAACAAAGAGTAAAGCAAGTAAAAAAATGATAAAAAGCTGAGAATATTTACTCAATTTAAAATTAATATAATTCTTAG